TAACCCAGGGGGGAGCTCTGAACGGTAAAGACGCTGTTCTGTGTTTGTCCTAAGAACAATGCAGGTTGCAACAAGTCGGCTCAAGACTTAAGTGTCAAAACAACAAACGCTTCTTCCCCCTGCATTCCTTCTGAAGTGAGTCGAAGCTCTCAAACAGACAAAGCATGAAAATAAAAAAATTACTTTGTGGATCTAACTGGATCTAACGTCCAATATGAGAGGATGAAGACGTAACTGAGTCGGGTATAAACCTGTCTGCAAGACTTAAAGGTCAAATGTTGATGCTGCCGTTCTACCCCGTGTTCTTCTACGTCCTTCCTGTCTCTCTGCATCTGGCAGAGGTGAACTATCTCCACTAATATGGTGAAAATCATTCACACTTTTCTGAATAAAACATTAAGCTTCAGAGAAAAAGGGAATGAAATACTACCTGGGGGGGGGGGGAGGTTAACACTGTAGTATGCATTTAACTGTATTGACTTGATATCAACTTGATAGAACAGAACAAACATGACACCTTCTCTATACATTAAATTATAATTGAGTGAGTGACAGTGCTGGTGACAAAGAGAACAGGAAACCAGATTTAAAGTAACAGTACGATCCGTCTCACCACTCGTCTCCGTGTCCAGACGGTCACCATGGGAGTTGAACCACAGAACTCTGGGGAACGGTTCTCCGGTGACGTTGCAATCAATCAGCACACAGCTCCCCTCCCGGGCAATTATCTGGCTCACTTTAGTGAACGCAACTGGGACAAATCCGCTGTCTGTCACATTGCTGGTCTCTGTGCGGTTTCCGTCCGTGTCCACAGATAAGGCCTCGGTGGTGTGAGAGGCGATAAGGGACACCAGGACCACAAACACGTCTGCGCTGCTCCAGTGCATTTTCTCAGAGTGTTGGCGAGGGGGAAGAGACTTGTCATTCCTCCTGGGTCTCCATCCTGCACACTGGTTATCTCTTGATGGTAGAAGGCAATTTGGTATTTGGCTCTGTGGCTCCGAAGATCTCACTGAAAACAAGACAGGGATTCATGGAATTTATTAATGAGTCAGCGCAGGACACAGCCACATGTACCTGTTCAGGCCTGGATGCTCAGACGCTGTTTGTGTAACAGGCTCTTGAATGACACAGAGCTGCAACTCAAGACCATTTTCATTATTAATTAATCGTTTGTCGGATAAAAAAAAGTTTAAATAGAACTGTTGTAACATCTTCAAGTCCAAGGTCACATGTTCAAATTGGTTTAATATGCAAATACAACATATTTACAGTAAAGTACAACCACGGATAGTTGCTGAATTAATCTGATTAACACATGGTCACAAACTAATCATTGTGTGTCTCTTAAAGTCTGTCAGGTGTATTTCAGTTCTTTTAAAAGCCATAAACAAATAAAATATATTATTAATACAATTTAACAACCACTTAAACCCTTTTGGCTAATTTTTAATTAACAGCCAATCAGTTATCGCATCATTTATCATTTCCTATCACGCCACAGGTTGCAACTGTGCTTAAATATTAATATCCAATACTGTTAAGCGATCATCTATGGGTTGTTCTATAACAGAGGATTTATTGATTAGTCAAATAAAATAGAGCAATTTATCGGTTTCTCGTCTGTTTAAGACTTTTAAGTGGAGCAAAGTGGTTTGATTCCCATTTCGATCACATTGACTCATGATGAAATAAAACACCAGAGTCAGGTCTGCTCTGAACAACTCTTGTAAATATCTCCAGTTTGTGTAATCGTGACTGAATCCAGCTGTTCCACGACAGACAGCTGCTTCCTCCTCCTCCACGTGAACATCTGGATTCTTACGAAAACAAAGCCACAACATAACGGAGCGGTGCGGGCTTCGTCTAATCGCTGGACCACGTCCTCGCACTGGGAACGTGGAAATCAACGAATTTAGCATCGTTAGCTCCCACGAGCGAGCCACACAAACACATGGGTGATGAAACGCAGATTCTTAAATGTACGCATTCGTTCGGATGTGTCGGCTTCTGCGTTGTTTCGGCCTCGTTTAGCGAGCTGCAAAGCTGCGGGACCCGGCTATGTGCTGGTTGGCTTTTTTTTTTTTTTTTAGCATCACGGGACCGTTTCCAGATCTGCCTCAGCTGTTTACTGAGTGCTAGCGTCGTTAGCATGTGATGAGCTTACGTTGTTAAAAGTGTGTCTGCGGGTTAAAATGGACATTAACGCATTAATCATCGGAGTCGTGCACACGGTGACGTGGATCCACACCGAGAACCGCGGTGACGTTACCCGCGCCGCGGCTCCGGCTAAGCGGACAACTCGACGCTAGCTGCTAAACGAGGAGCTACAACCCCGACGGGAAAAAAAAACAAAACAAGAAAACCACCGGTTCTTACTCACATCATGACCCGGCGTCTTCTGAACGCGGGTGTCGGTGAGAGGAACCAGACTCGAGGTGTTGTCGCTCATTTCTCGGGCATCTCCATCCACCTCTCGCCGCTGCTCGACCGCTATGTCACCGCGACGAGCTGCTCTGAGCTGCGGATCAGCTGCGGACTCACGGAGGCGACGTCGCCGGGTTGCGTCGCTGCAACAGATCGAGCGATGAAATAAATAATAATAATAATAGAGTTAGAATAAACTGTATTCATCTAAAACCCTTTAAAACACAGTTACAAAGCTGATTCACGAGTTAAATAACAAATAAAATCAAACAATAATAAGCTTTAAAATGTGTTTAAGAGTTAAAAATATAAACTGAGGGCAAATATAAACAATAATAACTTATATAAAAACCTTTCAGCCTTAAAATGTGCTTCAGAAAGAGGACAGATATAAAAGCATTCAAACAAGAAATAATATATATTAAAAGTTGTGGCTTAATATCAGAGGAACAAAAATTAAAACTTTTCTTAACTTCGGCCTTAAACTAGATCTTCCACTTGATCGCGCTCCTGCACGTTTATTCCTTTATCTGCATTTTTATTTTATTTTCCTTTTCTTCAAAATGTCATTTGAACGTGTTCTTATCCGACTTTGAACAAACTTGCTGACATCAGTATAATATAAAAGTTTCCAAGATATGGACGATGAAACTATAGTTTTCAAATATATTTTTCCAAAGTCAAATATGTTGATATCATGATTTTGCATTGTTTAAGCACAGTGAGGAGGCTCAACACGTGATCAGAACTGTTTTTTCCTGCTCTGCTTGTAAAGAAGAGTTTAAATCAACGTTCACTCAGGAGGAATAATCAGATTTCAAACTTAAACTTCCTTAAGCCAAGAGTAAATCCAAATACTTTCCACCCTTTGGTACCTTTACTCATCGTTACCCCAGTTTAAAGCAGGAGTTATTGTAATGTTACTCGATATGACGAACATTGTTTTCCCGTTGACATTAACAATACTATTCATTTGGAGTCATGTTTCTGGAGACGTGACAAATGTGAGTTTAATGTTTTCCAATAACTCCTGAACTCGGGTTGATGAGCGTTGGGTGATAAATCCCTGTGAGGTTTGTGGTTATATTTGTCACTTCTCACATTGCACTTTGTAATTTGATCTAAATAGTTGACGAATGCACTTTGGCCTTAAAAACCTCACTCACATAAAGGTAAAGTGTAAGTACATTTAATTTTGTGGTGCAGTTAAGTGGATCTTTTTGTGCACGTCTGCATTTAAATATGCACACACGCAAATGGACTGTGGTCACAACCCATTCCCTCCTGCATTTATTAACCAAATCTAAACGGTTGAATTCTACGCAAGGAGAAAACAAAGCAGGACTCAGAGCAGCACAAAAAAAGGTGGTTATTTTGGAACAATGAGGGAAATATGGATTCCAAAAGGAAGGAAATAACCAAACAAAGCCCCTCTGAATACAGTCAGGGTTATACAGGCTGCTTGTTTGAGAGCTGACTGAGCTTACAGCCACAGTTCAAGTCTGAAATCGGCACAAGGCCTCAGCAAACAGATATCAATAGCCTCTTAACCTAAATGGCGTTATTGACTCTGACTAAGGGAGCGGCTGTGCTTTGACAGTGTTGTAGTTTTACAACCAAAGTTAAAACATCTACATTTGAATAGAGTGACCCATGGCTACCTTTGTTTTCCATATAAAACATTAGAAGGACAAGAATAGAACAAGTACAGGAAACCTCTGACCTCCAGGCATGAATGAAACAATCAATACAAAAATTATAAAATCAGTTCATCTTTACAGCAATAACTTGGTCTCGGTCTCACTGTCTGTCAGGGTCAGTGTTTTGTTTTTTTAACGCGTCAGTAAAATAAATAAGATCACACTATCCTGAAGAAATAACTGTTTAATAAAATATGATGTAAGGGACGATAAAGGGCCAAACTTAAGTCCATAAAAGATAAGGCAGTGCTATAGTTTTAACTGCTCCAGCATTCACTGGGTATAAATGACATTATTCAACATTCTAAAATAGTGCTTTTCCTATTCACACACAAGTTCATGTTTCCCTCCTGTATGTAAATCTAAGTCCAGGGATTAGGATGTATTTTAAATGTGGTAATCATACGTAGTCGAACTGTATCCTTAACCTGAGGGTTTAAGTACTATTACCACAGCGACAGGAGTATGAGGTGGAGCAAATACCTGATTCCTAAGCTGCTTATCTCCTTACCCTTTACAGATGAATGTTTCATTTGTACTCAAACACTCGTGAGAGTTATACACACTGTTCACAGAGTGCTTTATATTCACACAGAGGGAAGGAAGACTGTTCAAAGGAAAAGAAAAGTTTCCAATAACAGACGGGCTCTGTTGTGAGCATGATCACCGACCATGCAGGTCTCAAACACATGAAAACAAGCTTGTTTTTCTGACGAACAGAATTTTTCAAGGTCAACAGGAAACAAAGAGGCCCCCCCCCCCACTGTTGCCGGAAAGATAAAACCATCAATGCATTATAAACTTATCAAGTAACAGCAGCCAAACACAATAATACTGGTAAGAGGACAAAAAAAAACAATAGAACCAGGCCAATGCGTTTGTTTCTCTGTATTCTCAAATTACAATCATAGATGGTACATAAATATCAATATGGACGACATACCAGCTCTGTAAAAGTGATGCCGATGCATCTCATTCACATCCATGATTATTAACATTCTGTGTTTGGAACCATTTCATCAGGAATAATTGTGTTTTGAGGCTTCAGTAGAACAAAAACATTGAATCATAGGATAATTAAAAGCCATTATTTACTTTGTAGATGAAGGAGACAACCTTTGTGTGTAGTGTAACAACAGAGCAACACATTCATTTTAGTTTTCGTTGCTCCAGAGCTGTTTGAGTAGTGAGCATCATATTAAAACTATTCTTTGTGGGGTTTTGCTTCAGGCAGCAAATATATTAAAATATATTTAAACTTAAGTTAGAAAACATACATCATGTACCAGGGAACAGTCATCACAAAGCTTCTTTGATGAGCAGAGAGAGTCTTCTGAAACCCTGCAGAAGAATTGAGAGGTTAGTGTCAGTTTTAATAAAATAATCCTCAGTCCCACGGCGGAGAAATCTGACACATCACAGCAGCAATGGGGAAATTAAAAATAGAAACAGCCGTCAAAAGAAATGAAGTAATAATAAAACAATATATAGAGTGCACAGGACTGCATATGTAAGATTGAATTTCACGGACAGATATTGAAGTAATGGTTCGTGTGTGTGTGTGTGTGTGTGTGTGTGTGTGTGTGTGTGTGTGTGTGTGTGTGTGTGTGTGTGTGTGTNTGTGTGTGTGTGTGTGTGTGTACCTCATCGATCTGTTCCGGTGTAGAGAGAGAGAAAGCTGCTCTGACATAGGGACAGGGTTCATTACTGTTGATCATGAAGACGCCTCCGGGAACCAACAGAACCTTTAACACAAACATGTGACTCAACGTTTGCTCCACGTTTCTCTTTCCCCCAGATTTCATGCATCGAAAGTCATGAGAACAGAACTTCTAATTCCTACAGCTGCTTTCATTGTGTCCTGTACTAACGGACTAATCTTCACTCCTAGCTAAGCCTCGTGTTGAGGTTTTAAATATCCTGGACACTAGAGGAGAGAAACCATCAGTGCTGGGAAAAGCCTGATTGCACCCACTCGTTTTTTTTTTTACATTTTTAATCAGGCATTGACTCACAGGGATTTACAGACACTGTGTGTAGGAGGGGAAACACTCAGTTGCTAAACCCACTCATTCAGTGCACAATGGCTTCTATATATGCACCATCTCTCACTCTACTCACACAGACAATCTCCCTTCGTATAAAACAACATCTGCTCACAACCAGTGCAACAGAGAAACAGAGGCAAAAGCACCCAGATGCATTCTGGGTACCTGATATTTGCATGTTAAGAGTTCAATCACAGGATTTGTTTGTGAATTCTGACCTCTTTCTCCAACGCCTTCTCCATAATGAGCCTTTGAGTGTCAGCGACGCCTTTAAGTTTGATCCACAGGAACATGCCTGCTGATGGAGTGTGCCACTCTGCCACATCTACACAAAGACCCACACACATTAGGGAATAGGGAAAGCCAGGGTATTTAAAAAAAGGAACAGATCCATGAGATCCAACATCTGTAATTCTCATCACTAACATCCATGAATACTGTTTGTACCAAAGACTGTAAATAAAAATCATCTCCTTCCTCCCATTGTACAAAAATGAAGCAGAAACATCTTCTCACACTTGGAGAATCTTAACAGTGATAAAAAAACACCCAAAAAGACAGAAACTCTTCTCTTTACATTTTATTGACAGGTCAGTCATGCTCAACATTAACTCCCACCCGGGACCCAAATTTGGTTATAAGCTACTGTTTTGTCCGTTTACAGTAAATCAAATTTAAAACAGAGCTTTTATAGGTAACAAGCTGATTTGACCACGAACCTTTGAGCCACTTGTCTGCGGAGGTGATCATGGCATCACGCTGTTTCCTGTAGAAGTCAATCACCCTGAGAGATGAAAGAAAATATACTGTTTGATCCGTCACTGCAGGAGAGGCTGACGCTGTAATAATCAGTTTACTGTTTATTTCTCAACCAGTCGAACGTGTCACAGAAATAAATACCTGTCTATGTGCTGGAGGAAACCATCTTGTCCCCAATTGTGCAACAGCTGAGACACCATGAGCTGAAAAGACGCAGGAGACAGGTTTTAAAATGCAGATTCAAATTATTTTATTTTTTATTTCATTCCACTTTTACATTTGTGTTTATTTTAGATTTAGTTTGTCACCACGTGAAAGAAACCTGAAGAGCATTCTGAGAACACGTCTCCACCACGGCTGACTGGCTTCTTTATCATCATATGCATGCAATCCCCACCAAATTACACACTCATAAATATCAGTTCCCTAAATATGACAGATTTTATCATTAAGATTTCAATTATGTCTTGAGAAAAGTCCACTTTATCAAATCTGCTCTAGAAGTTAAGTCACTTTTCCTGCAGTTGTGCACCACTTGATTCAGTAGTTTTTGCCTAATTCTGCTTAAAGTCCTTGGTGGTGGGGAAAAATGTGAACGTAAGCATTTCTGAGTCTCTATCTACAATCTAGTCATCATTTAAAAAAAAAAAAAAAGAGCAGAAGCAGTGATTGAATCAGAAGGGGGCAGCAAGTCTTTGGTTGATCCTAATTATTTCTCCCTTCATTAAAACCTCTTCAGCTGCTTCTAATCCACGCGCACCACAACAGCTTATTTGGCTTCAGCTGCACAGCGACAACAGAGTCGCTGTGCAGCTGAATTTGTGTGGGTTTCAATGTGGCGTGCCTGGTGGGTGCGACCGACATTGGCACATTGCACAAGTCAGTGATGACTCTGCTAAAACAATATGCCACAAGTACAGAGACTTCCCCTCTCAGCCGCGCTGCTCTGTGCTCACTTCTGCACAGAGGTTTGCTTGGTGCAGGAATTATTCCCTTTAGCTCATTTGCACGACAACAAGATGGAGGCTGCCACGCAGGACGAATATCAAATGATCAGGAAGAGGTTTGCAAAGAAACCAGCAATGCAAAATGTTTATTTAGTGGCAGTGAAAAGAGAAGGACGTTGGTGGAGTCAAATTAAAACTTGATTCACCTGTGTGAAGGTACTAGTGTGCATCGTTGAGGCCTGGATGTGCAGCACCACCCGGTCCACCAACGGTTTCGGACCCGTCACAAAACCAATCCTCAGCCTGAAAGAGATGCGGTTAAACATGAAATATCTCCCACACAGAACCGTGTAATATTTAACTTTGTGAATTTATTATACACCGACTTCACACATTGTATGTTCTTAGTATACGTATCTGCAAAACCTTTACTTTTAAAAAACAAAAACTGAAAATGCATTTTAATATCTTAAATCTAGAAGTGTATTCGAGTAGTTTAACATTAAGATGTAAATATTTTAAACACTCAATAGCTGCACCTGATTACACAGACACACAGAGTTTAATTCCAAAGTGAAAATAAACTGGAAAAACACACCCAGTTGCAGGAAGCACACCAACACTGCTGTAGCAGAGTCACACGCACATGGTATTTAAGAAAAGCAAACACTCACCCTGAAGACAGGATCTTAGAGAAGGAGTCTGTCCTGATGATTCTCCCATCAACGTCCATAGAGAGAAACGTGGGAGTCCACGGCTGCCAAACAAAGACACAACATGAGTCACACTGTGGCCTCAATTTATAATAATACAACTTATATCATTGAGATCAGACCTTGAAATAATAATAAAAAGGAGACAACTCAACTAATGTTCTTAATTTGATTTATTGTCACATAAAAGTACATTCAGACAAACAGCAGGTGAGTGAACTCTTTCTGTACCTTGTCAAACTGCAGGAAATAGTACGGGTCGTCCTCGATGATGAGCATGTCGTACTGCCGGGCGAGCTATTAAAGAGACCAGAGAACGTTAATAGAAAATGACAGAGTGGATCTGCAGGGAAATCAGCCTCACAACAAGCTCTAATTAGAAGAGTCGGTGTTCCACTGACAGCTTGGCACAAATCGTTAAACATTTCTGTTTTGTAACTTTACAGATGGAGACGAACCTCGTACACGTCTTTCTTCCTCTGAGCCGTCATGGAGGCACCGGTGGGGTTTCCTCCATTGGGGATAGTGTAGAGGACTTTGGGAGCGGTGCTGCCGGGCTTGTGGACCTCTGACGGGTCCCACCGAGACAAGACCTCCTTCAGGGCCGCAGGTACGATGCCATGCTGATCACTGGGAACGTTGATTAAGTTGCAACCGAGTGGCTGAAGCTACAGAGTAAAGGCAGTAAGTCAAAAGACTGATGCAGCTTCAGTTAATGTAAATAATTAAAAATAAAATAAAAATAGATATAATTTAAAATGAAGTGCTCTACCGCTGCCAGTGTCCCTGAGTACGTGGGGGCATCCAGCAGAACGTTGTCTCCAGGGTTGACCAGCATCTCAAACACCTGAAAGACAAAACACAGTGAACACAAGACTCAAAGTCAAAATCATGAGAACTTCTTTTAAAGCAATATGCAAACACAATAAGAGGTTTAAAGTATATTACTAGTTAAAAAATGTATGTCTTCCAAATATCTAGCTCACTGTTTAAACAGTAAAAGAAACAAGCATGCTCCATCAAAAACTTCTTCATTATGCAATCATCCATTGGGCAAAAAATACCAAAAGACAAATTAATAAAAAGGCAGATGAAAATTATTTATAATTTAAAAGATTTGGATGCAACAGAAAAACATCACAGACATGAAACTCAGACCTCAAAGATTTCAGAAACATCAGCTCAATACATTTATAATTACAATCAATTATCATGAAATGAGGTAAAGTCATTTAGTAGAAAGGCCATGAAACTTTGCTTTCATATCTTTGGAGCCTGTTAAAAGCTTTCCTGGGTTTTCAAAAACATTCAGAGTGTGATGCAGTCGTCCATCACCAGTATGAGTGAGAGTAATTTGCAGCTGGTGGAGTCGGTACCTTACAGAGCCCCTCCTGGCTGCCTGTGGTCACACACAGGTCCATCTGGCCGTTCTCCACGGTGTAGTTGGCGGACGGTGGATTGTGGAGGTTTTTCTGCAGGTTCTTCATCCACGTCAGCAGCTCTGGGATTCTGCACAGAGATGGAAACTTTTTAACAACTGACACCAGCAGCATTTGTAGGATTTGAATTCCAGATTTGAAAAGCAGGATCATTTCAGGGACTTGTTTATTTGATCGGGACAGTGCTAATTGACCAACAGACAAAATACTGTTAATGAGCCAGAGTTCCATTTCATCCTTTGTCCCTAGCTATGTCTATAAGGCAACTTGAAATACAAAAAGCTCTTACATCATTGATATATATATATATATATACACACACACATATATATACATATACACACACACACCATGCTAACTGTACATCAATTGTACCCACGTTTAAAACACTACGGCAGATAAAAAAAACTGTAACGATGATAATGATGCTCAGCAGATAACCCATAATGAAAACACTGCACAAGACAGAAAATAAAAAAGGTGAAAACATAAAAATCAAAGTGTACAATGCAACACTCAGATATGACACAAAGAGACACGCATGTAGAATAAAATATAAACTTGAGTGGTCACAATGTGACCTGCATTGAACCAAACCCAAGCCCCTGTTACAATAAACACAAGACACCAGACCTCTTCTTTAAAAGTTTCTTTTATTATCAAAATTATAAACAGTGCATCTCCATCACAATCACACACAATCACAGGAGACCCGGGTAATTGCCTACTTTGCCTGCACTGTTGTGACGCCCTGGTTAGACTGATATCTGTTATCAGTGATTACTCAGAGTCAACAAATCAGTCTGTGAAACGAGTCATTTGAAGCCGCAAGGTTTACAGAGGTGGTCATAAAAAGATAACCTCCACACACTCGGCTGTAAAAGGTTTGATCCTGATGCAGCGAGATGCAAAAGTGGGATATATATTATAAACGATTTCATTACTAATGTAGAGGTAAACACCTGATGAGTGTCTGTTTTGTTCTCTCACCCACTCGAAGCGGAGTACTGCAGAGCCCTCTTCATCGTAGTCGCATCGAAGGTGAGCGTTTGTCCATTCTTCACCGTGATGGACGCCGACTCGAAGGGGAAGGTGTTGGGGTTCGGCGCTCCACCGGCCAATGAGATCAGGGTCGGAGGGGACCGCTGCTGCAGCTCAGCTACATAAAGGTGAAGACAAACAAGACGAGGACTGAGTTGATATATACAGATTTCAGCTGAAGCACTGAGATCCTGGTGTTAGAAACACACTTGCAGGAATCATACTAAAAATAAAAACCTAGACCAACAGCTAAGTTCGGGTTTGTGCCAATTTAACTGAAGAGTATTTTGAGAACATTAGGTCCTGCAGCACAATTTGAATTGACATGATAAGGGGCTTAAGGTGGCTCCTGCTAATCCGTCCCGAGGAAGATCCCTGATTCAAAATCTGGTCTCAAAACATGAATAGTTTCAGCACGATAAGCACTAAAACACAAATGATTTAAAAAGTCAAGGACACTTTTCTTGCTTTGCTGCCAAAGCACTTTGTAAACTCAGTGTTTTTTAAAAAAAGTGCTACAGAAATTAAGTTTGTCACTCTTATTTTATTCAGTATTCAGAATGAAGATGTAACGAGAAGCAGACTCACTCAGCATCCTGATGGCAGAGGGATTTCGAGCTGCACTAACAGCCGTCAGAAACCGAGCGTAATTCATGATTCCTGCAGAAAGAGGCAGAGAAAAAGTTTAGTGCACGAATCCCTCGACTCTGCACCTGAGGCTCCCAGTGAAACATGTGGTCTGTCTGCTTTTGAGAAAACTGCACCTGAACACACATTTTAACTTCTTACAGTGAGAGGACACGTGCAGCGGCTCCACAGGAGCAGTGACGCTGCTGTGAACACAGTGTTTGAGTTCGGATCCATGTTTAACTTCACTGATATCTGCTGCTTTTCGTTCATTCCAGTACCAGCAGAGGAGGAAATGTGTGACACTGACTTCTGTACCAAAGTGAATCTGTACGTTCAGTAAACTAGATGTCTTTGAATTAAAATACACGTGACTTAAGATAAAAGAAAGAAAGTGAAGTGAAGCACCACCCCCCAAATGTTTGTGTTTGACACGAGATAAATCCTGGCGCGTGTTAATCTGAGTCGTGTTGAACTCGTGTAAATCAGCGTTAACTCGAGTTAAAGTGAATGAACACGAACAGGAACGGGCCTCACACTCACCGGGACTCGAACACGTGAGCGTGAAACTTTCTGCACAAAGTTGGTTTTTTTTAACGTAAACTACGACTTTGACTCGGTCACGCGCTGCTGCTCCACCGACCTTGTGTTTGATTTTCTTCTTCTGCGTTTCACAGCAGTCGCAAACTAACATGTTGGTGCACACCGCCACCTGCTGGTCAGGTTATTACCCCGACACTAGGCGCCACAGGGCTTCTGGGTAATGTAGTATTTCATATGTGGATAATGTGTGGTGGCTAGCTTAGCGCTCCACGTTGAAAGAACTACATTACCCAGGCGTAAAAACACAACTACAGCTACATGCCCCCTTTTACATGTGTTATAATTACAGGAGTTAGCATATAGCCGTTTAGCATTAACCAAATGAAAGTAAATGGCTGTGGATTCTTACCGGTGGAGAGGTAGTTCTTCCCCGCTGGAGAGCGACCAACCGTCGGGCGAGGAGCGGCCGCAAGACGCGGAAGAGGGCGAACTTCCGCGTTGCTAGCTCAGCGTGTTTGCGCTAAGCTAACAGCACGCGTTCAGAGTTTCGCGTTTTAACCCACTTCCGGTCAGATTCGATCCGTGTTCGCAGCTCTCTGTGCCGACGTGAACTTTCTGAGATGAGTTCTCCAGCGTCAGCTACACGTGTTAGCTAATGGGAGCTAGCACCTCGGGTGGATAATGTAAAGCTAACCTCCTTCGAGTTAGCATCTCACATGTGATTCTCTCGGTAACAAACTGAGTCTGAACGAACACGTTGCTCTGATCAACCCGCGTCTCATCGACTCAATCAACAACTTGATCAACAACAGCTGCGGGTGTCCGTGAACGTGTCATCGATATCACTTTATTGGCTGCAGGTGTGTTTGCGTGTTGGCGGCAGCTCGGACATTTGTGTTGTGTCATGTAGAGCCGCCGCCGCTCTTCCTGCTTCACCGCCGCCGCTCGTCCCGCTCCGGCCTCCGGGTTGATAACTCGTCGGTCCGATGGGGAAGAGGAAAGACATGATCCACCCCCGGTTCCTCGGTGAGTTTTCAGCAGTATTCACATTTAAATGCACATTTGTTGCAGCCGAGCTGAAGCTTCCCCTCATAAGCAAGTATCCAAAGAAACATGACAACCTTAAAATAAAAAAAACACATTATCCACAATGATGTTTGCATCAGGTGTTTGTGGAAATAGGAAATATAACTTACTTGTGAATCCTGATCTTCAAAAAGTTAAGTTTAAGGCTGGGCAATAAAAGAATATCAACAATTAGGTCACTATCATTTCCTTCAATAGCAATATCACAGATATAATGCTTATGTATTGTAGTGAGGAGGTTTAACAGAATTGTTCCACCTCAGATTTGTAAAATTTGTTTGTCTGCTCATGAAGAATTAGAGATTAAAACCACAGGAGGAAAATCTTTACACGCAAAAATATTAGTAAAGTTTTTTTCCACTTTTCCAAAGTGGTTTGATTGGAAAAAAAATTTAATCAGCACGCTAAAATCCCCCCAAACCTAGGTCCATCTATAGGAAATGACAAATAATTTTTTTAGCAGACAGTCCAGGTATTAAAGAAATCACAGTTCAGACTTTTTTCTGTTTTCCCGTGTCGTCCCCTGCAGGCGAAGGCAGCTCCAGCCTTCACAGCGTCCACAAGCGGAAACACAAAAAACACAAGAAGCACAAGAGGAAGCACCACAGCTTCACTGAGGCCCCGGAGCCCGAGCCTGTCATCGTCCCTCGGCCTCCACCACAGCTGCGACTCAAGATCAAACTGGGAGGACAGACGCTGGGGACCAAGAGGTGAGCGGTGATGTGTCCTGATTGGAACATCTTCCCTTTCAAGCGTTATGTTGTTGCTCATTTATAAAAATTATTGGTTTATTTTCCTGTCGTCAGTGTTCCCACCTTCACTGTGCATCCCGGTGTCGCACGTCCTCCCTCGCCACTGATGATCATTGACAACAATGTTGATGATTCTGATGAAGATGACGACAACAGCGACGATGATGAGGACGACGACGACACGCCCTCTGTGCCTCTGGAGCAATATCGAGCCTGGCTGGGTGAGTTACAAGGAGAGCTCATAGATATTCACTGGATCTAGAAGTTAAACTTCTCTTTCGTGTTTGAAAACTTATTCTTATAGTCAATAGACATGTTTGACATTTGGAAAAATAAATGATGAAAAAACATTTGATTACCAAACATTTTCTGGAACTTTTCTTGCCAGCCCCTTAGTGAAATGTCCTGAGACTGTCTGTGAGTCCATGAGCGAGCAGGCATGCTGAAGTTTCTAACTCGTGGTAGACGCAAAACTAGAAGAATACAAATATCTCACGATGAAAAAGAAAACACACGTAGAAGACATTAATAAATCCATCGTGTTTTAACTTGTTCATCCTGCCTCAGATGAAGACAGTAACCTGGCCACATCTCCTCTGCCAGACATGGATTCAGACTCCATGCTGGGTGCGCCTGTGGACGAGGAGGAGAGGTGGCTGGACGCTCTGGAGAAGGGAGAGCTCGACGACAACGGAGAGCTGAAGAAAGAGATCGATGAGTCTCTGCTCACAGCCAGACAGGTGAGGGAGAGACACAGGAAACATGAGTATGTCCGTTTGCGATTGATAAAAGAGTTACTTAAGCATTTATTCATGTTTTATTTGTTTGTTCTATAGAAAGCCCTGTTGCACAAGCAGCAGAGCCAGCCTCTCCTGGAGCTCCCCATGGGCTACAAGGAGAAGGAGATGACCGCGGAGATGATGCAGAAGCGGGAGGAACGAGCTCGAAAGAGGCGCCTGCAGGCCGCCAAAAAAGCCGAAGAGAGCAAGAACCAGACGATAGAGAGACTGACAAAAACCAGCAAGGCCAAGATCAAAAGCATGAAGGAGAAGAAGTCCAAGCTGAGCCAATGCCCCATGGTTCGCTACAGAGACTCCGCCCAGGGCTTGGCTGTCTCCTTCCCCACAGGGGTCACTGCTCCGGCGCCGGCACCTCCCCTTCCTTCACCTCCGGCCCCTTCGAGCTGCGGAGTTAGCGGCTGCACCAACCTGAAGAAATACTCGTGCTCCAAGACCGGGGTTCCTCTCTGCAGCCTTGAGTGTTACAAGAGGAACCTGCTGCTCGTTCAGAGCGCCGCTTGAACGCTAACGAAACAAGACTCTTCTGAAATGACCTTCGATGGGATGAATGAAAACACTCATCCTGGAAAAATAGATTGAAAATGTATAATTTGAACTTTACACTTGAAACATAAATCTTTCCAGGACTCAATCTGTATGAAATGTGGATTTACTTTTTTATCTAATTTACTTTTTGTTTGTAGATGTGCTGTATAAATAATATCTTCCAGTCACACATCCAGTGTTTATGATTTCCATATTTTTGTTGACTTGAAACAGAAGTGTTGTTTTCTTGGACAAAGATTAGTCTGAAAGAACCAAACAGAAACTTTCTATTAAACTTCAAACAATGTTCATTTTGGTAACAAACAAGTCCATTTCCATAAAAAACTATACAAGCAGTTAAATTAACAAATGAGATTCTCTCCCAACAATTAAATCTGAACATATGATGATGAGCGCAGCAGCGTCATCTTGATTGGCCCAGCTCTGTCTGTTCTCATCAGATCTACACCAACATATCTGAGGTATTCACTGATGGAGTCGCTGTGAGGAACAAACACAGTGTTCGGCACACAACTGTTGTGGAACATGATACCTGGTTTAACAACAAGGCACGAAGGCGTCCTGGTGTGAACCTGAGCCGTCGGCCTGGTTTATCAAAAGGCCACAGTCACTCTGCTGTTATCTGCAGACAGTCATCCGTACAAACAGGGTCAGATTCCACTTGACCCCATTTCAAACGTTTGCACTGAAACTGGCCGCAGTTTGAGCTGTTTTCCTGAGAATGCAACCGATGATTCGTCAGTTCAGGTGTCTTCATCACCGATGACGGATAAATGTGTCACAAGGCCAGACCGAAGGAGAGTCTGAAGGCCATCTCCACAGGAACCTCTGCCACCGAGTCGTGAAAACACACGTAGAATTCCTGAGGGACGGGCTCGAGCAACATCCGTCTGAAAGTGAAAGAAAAAGACGAGAGAAAAATCGTTGAGATGTTTTCTTGAAAAACAGAAGAGCTGGTAGTCGTCACTTTTTAAACTTTACTGGAAGTTAAAAAGAAAAGTTAGGACAAAAGGCCTTCACTCTGATCCGTCCTGGTTAAAATAGAAATGAATATTCCCCATTTCTGGAGCCATTGGTGTAAAATAAATAAAAGCTGATGTACCCGATGACCCAGTACGTCATGGTGGGAGCAGGTTTCCTCTGGTCGGTCCAGTTCTCTGGTTTACACTGGAACAGGACCCCGTGTTCCTTCAAAGGTCCCAGGCCCCAACCAGCGCCCTGAGGTCTGTCTGCTGCCCGACGGCCCTGCGAAGCAAATCACACTGAGGTTTACACAGAGACAGATGTGGAAGGAAACTGAAGGATTCATGAGCAGCATATGTTCAGAAGGAGAAACCGAAGTCTGGAAGTTGGTGATGACACATTCATGATTAGATCATTGACTCCGAGGATGAAGCTGTCAGTAGCTTTTCTAACTGGATTTGATGGAACTGAGGAGTTGACTTTTTTATTCCTGTCATTTCAACTTTGTTCTCAAAATGCACAAATCTTCCTCCTCTATAATTTATTTCTTGACCCTAATACTCTTCTGCACAGTTTGGTTAAGTTTTAATTAAATATGTTTTTCAAACACATCACTGAAAAACTAAATTCAACATCTGGACTGAGCAGTACTTTTTTTACACCATAAAAATACATCTGCAGCGCTCTCTGGCGGACAAACTATGTAACATGTCACTTTTTCTGCACAGACAAATGTTTTTCTATTTCTTACAGCTGACAAAGACATACATACAAAAATATCAAATATATAAACCAGGCCGGTTTATCGATCTAGCTATGATTTAAAACTCAATCTAAACACTCGACCTGAACCTGATCTCAGCCGCACTCACTGAAACCCTCAACTTGAAAAGAACAGAATCTAGTTTTGAACTGCGTAGTCAACTGAGACATCGACTGAGGCTTTCATTCATTTATAACTGTGTAACGTGAGTCACCCTGGCCGGCAGACTCTGCTGGAACGCAGCCCGGATGGAGAGGCAGCAGTGGTGGAAGTTGCGGATGAGCTGCGGGTGGATGGAGCCGCTGAGCTGAGCCACTTCTCTGTGAGTGGGAGCGATGAAGATTCCCTGAACCGTTTCCATCAGGACGTAGTGAAACAAGGTGTTCTCAGCACCGGAGGTCAGTCTGTCACCAACACAGGACGATACAGTTACACAGAGGGCGGATGATGATAATGAAATAATAATAAAAACTGAAAAAAAATTCAGTACAACTATAAATTTAAGGATTCTCCTCCATCACTTACTTCATGGTGTTGTACATCTCCTCTGTCTCTCTCTCAGTCAGAGTCTTCTTTAAGGTCCCCAGGTAAAATGGGTTTGGATGTTTCATCCTGGAAATCTGCTGCCAAGCAGAAGATAAGAATAGAACATTACAACAAATAAGAATTTAATAAATACAAGCTACAATTAAATCAGATTTTCTAAATTGTCTCTCCAAATGACCTGTCAGTCATCTCTCCTCTCTCCCATCAATTAAAGGTAAAACATGTTCCCATCTTGCAAAGAGGAATCCTACAAATATTGCTGGATATATAGAATTTACATTTTATTAGTCTCTTCTGTCTCAGTCTGACGAGCACTGCACCTTAAAGAGACCTCCGCTGCCTCCACTTCCATCGGACCCTCCAGACCCCAGAGAATCCCGTCGCCCCCCCAGCTTCCTCGCTGAGTCCGGGGTGGAATGTGGACTGAAGCCCGGAGCCACTGACGAACCGGACCCTGAGCCGGCATCCATCTGCCCCTCGCTGCCGCTGTCCGACAAACTCCTCTGTGGGCTGGACCTCCGGGACCGCTCCCCAAACAGGCTGCGGCCTCTGGAGCCCGACGAGGAGCCTTTGACCGCTCCGGCTAGTTTACTGAAGACGGGGGAGGAAGAGGCCAGGCTGTCCAGGCGGTCGCGGGCTGTGGCGGCGGGGAGGAACCAGTCGGCACAGGACAGGCAGGGAGCAGGCGGAGCGTTCAGTCTCTCTTCAATACCTGCCTCCAGCACCTCCAGCTGCAGCAGGGTGGCCTTCACCTGGGGCCGGAACGTAAAGGAGATTTAGTTTGTACAGCTTTGAATCTTTGTGGCTCAAAGAACAGGACAAATGAAGCAGGAGCCACGTTCACCTGATCCACGTAAACACAGTCAGGTCCTGGAGAGCCCAGAGCTGGTGAAGCACAGCCCCCAGCCTCCAACAACACACACTGCATGAAGTGCCTCTGAGGTGGAGAGGAGGAGAAATACCAAGAAACACATGAAGCGTCGTGGTTCATTTCAGATTTACAGTAAATAACACTTTTCTTTAAGGAAACAACTGATGTCCACAGATAAAACAACTTCAACTAACTAACTTGGATGCTTCAGTGTTCGCACAGTATTTATGACCCTCGCATCATTTTCCTCAGGTTAGATTTCTGACAACACACTTAACACAGACGGACGACCAAAGCCTGGCTGCTCACCAGCCCCACTATGAGAAGGAAGTGTCGTCCTTGTGTCTGGCTGAAGCCCGGCGCCGTGCTGCCACCGCTGCCGCTGGCTCTCTGCTGTGGAAACACCTCCCTCCAGATGACCAGCTGCCCCACGCGCTGCTCAGACGCCAGCGGCAGCAGGCAGTAGTGCTGACAGTACAGGCACACGTCCCGCAGGTCCTCTTTGGGCAGATGGTTGGCGATCAGGTAGGACTGAGAGGAGGTGGAGGTGTGGATGAAAAGTGTCGACAATGCAAAGAACAAACAGAGTGAGTCATAGATTCTCCTTCACTGCAGGTTTCAAGGAGTTCAACAATTTATTTCTTCATCAAACTTTGAACATTACAATTTCTCTTCATGTAAATTACAGTTATTTTACTGAAACATCTTTGGCTTCATGTTTCAGATTCAGTTCAACCAGGTGAAACTGGTGATGTGCCGACACAAAGGCTGCGACACAGTCTGCCGCTCTCTGTCCTCCTCCTCTTCCACTCGATCAATATTTAAACAGATTAATCAGGTTGATGATTTGTCACAGAGTCGGAGGACAGGGCTCGTCTGTGTTATCTCGTGTGAGAGGCCATCTCCTGCACACAGTTACTGCAGCTGCAGGGCTGACATTCAAACCGTCTAGACGGCGGTGATCCATCAGGGGAGGATACAGATATTAAGACCCGCCGCTGGCACTGCAGTGTGTGTGTGAGTCTGTGTTTCAACTGTGACACCCACCTTGTAAAACAGACAGGATCCCAGAATAACATACAGACGCCTCAGGCCGAAAAAGTCCTCTGACTGGAAGAAATACACACAGAGCATTCACACGGCTGCAACCTTCTCCTCTCACAGCCTCAAGACAAAACACAGATGGCTTCTCAGCTTTTGTCCTTGCAGCTTAAATGAGGAGGTGACTTCACGTTTCAAGGTAGCAGTTCTGGAAAACAGATCTTTTGTTGTAAAAGTGTAACTGACTACATATTTTCTTGTCTCACCATTTCACCGAAGTCAGACGACTCGAAATCTGAAAGAACAGTATCCACCTCCATCTGTGAGTGGAAGAGAAACAAATATGAAGTTAAGACTGTTAACGTGGGTGAGATGCTCATGTTTTGGTGAAAGACGTCTTCTTGGACTTGTAGCAGTTCTCGCTTGTTTTATCAAAATTGATTTTTAGATTTGATTGTTGACTTTTAAGGCCTGTTCCATCTGAGGACCAAGGGTGACCCGGCCTCTTCTGTCAGAGCTTCCACTCGACAGAACATCTCTATGAGGTTTTAAATCTCTCTTAAAGACACACTTGTATTGGTATTCCATCTCTCTTCCTCCGGCTCTGATCTTATTGACAATTATAATAATTATCGTATAACATTTTACTTTAATCTGAAAACATTCTTATATTTCAGCCCTAACTTTGTCCAATCTTGTGATCTTCAAATTGATTTTAAATGTTTCCTCTGATTATTATTATTTTCATTGTCCAGTTCTTTATGTGCAGTTTCTTGCAGTGTTGGTCTCCTTCAGTGATCAAATATTTTTATGAGGATCATTACATTTTCATAAATTACATTGTGGGTCATTTTTAGCAGTGGACACTAGAGGGCACCACAGCTGCATTCGAGGCAACAACTTGAAATACTGCTGCTTCTCGACAATATTAGAAACGCACCTTGATTTCTGGAGGCAGCGTGAGCCATCGGACCGCTGGCAGTCCGT